AAGAGCTTCACAGATAAGAAAAAGCTAAAGGAGTTCATCACCACCAGACCAGCACTACATGAAATGTTGAAGGGTCTTCCTTAAGAAGAAGCTAATGAACAAAAGAATCTGATGAACTAAATAGATCCAGAGACATTGACACAGGCACCAGACGATCATATTTCAGAGGAAAGAGGGAAGAGGGGTGGAGGGTGGAAGAGATTAACCAAAGAAGTTATATGCATATATGCATAACCCATGGACACAGTTAATAACTGTGGGGTTAAGGCCTGGGGAGGGGGTGTGAGGGAGGTCGAGGGGGTCAATTGGGGGGAAAAATGGGACACCTGTAATAAAAAAAGTCTTTTTAGTGCTTTACAAATGTTAGAACAATTTGTTTTTACCCTCATCTGAGGATATTTTTTTCCTTTGATTTTTTTAGAGAGAATGGGAGGGAGGAGAGGAGGCAAAGAGAGGCACACTGACTTGTTGCCTTCTACAAGGGGCCCTGACTGGAGCAGGGATCAAACCTGCAACCCAGGGAGCTGCCCCTGACCGAGAATCAAACCCACAACCCTTTGGTGCACAGACCAACACTCTAACCACTGACCCACACTGGTAAGGGCGCTAAAGCAACATTAAGCACACTAAATTCGTACACAAAATGGAACCAGTCCATGGTACTGCACTGTATTAATCATGTAATCATAACATGAACACTAGGGCAGCCTCTCATATCTGGGAGTAGATGGCATTCTCCTCACCCCTCTAGAAGGGGTTAGTCATTTCTATTGTCTCCTAGACAAAAGGAAGGTCCTTCAGTAGGAAGAAAGCCAGAAAACACAGGCTTGGGATAGGATGTTCTTGGCCCCTGCCCTCTGGGTCTAAACTCGGAGAAGCTGAGTTTTCTAGTTACTGGCGCATATTACACTAACCACTGGCTTTATAAACTAGAGTATCAAGTTTCATTCTGTTTATTCTCTTTTGTCCCCTTTCCTCTTTTATAAAGCTGTCTATTCCTCTGGTTTTGTCACAACTATGTCTCACCTGTTCCACCTCCACCAGAGGAAGCAAGAAAACAGTGGTAGCAGTGAGAGATCCTGGAGGGTTTTGAAACTGTGTTTTCAATAGGACCCTCTTAGATCCAATGCAACATAAAACAGACAGCAGGTGAAAACCGTGGATGGGAGCCCCAGGCTACTATTCCAGATCCTGGCCTTCCTTCTCCTACACGTAATACCCGATTCTGAAAAACCTTAGAGCTTCAGGGAGCAGCTTGAAAACCTCTAGGAGAAAGTTAATTTCTGGACTAGAACATGGTTTAATAATTTAGCAAACAACCACATTTTACATGAAAAGCATTTACATTTTTAGGAAGAGGACAGCCCTAGCCAGGTGGCTCAGTTGATTGGAGCATCGTCCTGTGCTGTAGGATGATGGTAGGGAGGTTCAATTCCTGGTCAGGACACATACGTAGGTTGCAGGTTCGATGCCCAGAGGGGCGTGTAAAGGAAGCAACCAATCTATGTTTCTCTTCTCTTTCCTCTCCCTCTAAAAATCAATAAAAACATGTTCTAGGGTGAGGATTATAAAAACAAACAAACAGGATAAACAGGTCAAAATTCAAACAAAGTATCACAGTAATGGAAATTATGGTCAGATAGAAGTCACTCACCTTCAGAATATTCAGAGGTAACATTATTCTAGAGAGGAGTTTCCCAATATGATTGTTTTGCTCAAATAACATATGAAATATCATCTAACTTTTTAAACTTACTTGGTTAAAGTCCTTTTGTCTCAAGTATGTAATTGCTTTATTTATTTCCAGGTCATTTGCTAGCTCTACATATTGAGAAGCTTTCACAACTTCGACACACCTATAATGTAAAGTGGAAAAAAGGTTATTTTGTTTTACTATATTTTTGTTGGTTTTCTTAAATTTGACTTTTGGAAAAAAAATTTGAAGTGTCCCTACTGTTATGTAAGCCTAAGTATTTGCTTTCTTCCAATAAAGGCATTGAATTGCTGAATTCTACAGTTCTCAACTAATTTCCTCATCCAATTTTTCATTAGCCTGCTGTCATTTCTAAATATTTATGGTATTTTAAATGAAATTGGATTATAGCTACATTCTGGTTTTGGGGTTTACTAAAACAATTTCAATTTTTAACAGGTAAAATTGTTTCTATATATTTTTTCATCTTAAATGCTGTGATGGTGAGAAAAATTCAATAGAAATTACAGAATATATTTCATTTTTGTGAGTCCAAACTTGAACAGACTATAGATCTGTTCCCCAAAGCACACAGAATATCTATTTTTAACTGTATATCAGGCACTGTGCCAATTCCTTTACAAGCGTTGTCACATTTAATCTTCACAACAACACTGAATGACAGGCATTGTCTCTACTTCATGGATAGGAAAATGGAAGAACTGAGATCACATAGGTAGCAAACTGTTAAGTAAGAATTTGAACCCAATTTTCATTGATACCAAAACCCACTGCACCAAGACCAACGGTCTTAAAATTGAGGTCAATTGAGATCAATTTAGGATTAGTTGGATTAACATAATTAATTTAAAATAAGGATCATGAGCCTTATTTTAAAACACAGAATAGAAAAAATATCAATGGGCATTGTACATAATAAGGGGAAGGATTGTTTCAAGAAACCTTGTAAATTTCAGTAAACAATGGAAAATATATTTCTTACTGAGAGTCTGGTTAACAAATGTTTTAAAGCCACTGGCCTAGACCAATATTTAAAAACTATTAAAGCAGAAGATCTCTTTCTTCAAGAAGAATCTGTTTACTTTAACCTTGATTTATAAAAGAGGCCTCGTGCTTGAAGTGGGGAGAGAGGACTTGAAGCCCTGTCTGATCAGTGCTCCTTTCAATGTCCCTCTTTCCCCAGCCCCACCTCCCACCCCTACCAACAAGTTAAACCTGTAGACACAGCTAATGAAACTTCAAGAACTACAAGGAAATAATTTGAAAACCATTGATTCAGTTATGCATTCAGCAAACATTTAATGTCTATTGTACATCAGATATTATGTTTGGTAGAGGGATGTAAGGATAAATAAGATACTGTTCATGCCCTTATGAGGGAAGTAGGCCAGTGAATTGCATTGTGTGAGAACTGTTGCAAAGAATACAAGAATACAGAGGCAGAGAATCTAAACCAGATTGGGGAAAGGAATTCAAGAGATATCTGAACTCAGTTTGAAGAACAAGGAAGAACTGATTTGGCAAAACAAGAAGGGTGTCTGGCTCGGTGGCTCAGTTGGTTGGAGCATTGCCCCATACACCAAAAGTGTTGTGCGTTTGATTCTCAGTCAGGGCACATACCGAGGTTACAGGTTCCATCTCTAGTCGGGAGTGTGTACAGGAGGCAACCGATCAATGTTTCTTTTTCACATGGATGTTTCTGCCTCTCCCTCCCCTCTAAAATCAGTAAACACATCCGTGGGTGAGGATTAAAAAAAAACCTGAGAAGGGAATTCCAGGAAGGGGAGATAGCATGTGTACAAATGTGGCAGACCAAAAAAGCAGGAACTATTTAAGAAATTGATTCCTCACCATGTTGCTATTAACAAGTCAAGGGCCTCAAAGACAAATACACTGTGCCCTCCTGCCTATCTTTCTCAAATAGGTGTGTGCAAATGAATGTAGCCCTACAGAAAATTATTTGAGTAATTTCCCTCAATTTTCCTAAGGATGGTACATAGCTTTCACCATTCTAGTTGCATAGGATGCCTCAGAACCTCAGGGCTTAACTGTCTTAAGGACTCTATGTGAGAAAGGCTGACAGTGTTTGCACTTTCAAGAATACTCTTCTCTCTGCTTAGAAGGTCCTCCCCTTTCCCCCGCTTTATCCTTACTAACCCTATACTTTCAAAAAGTTCCATGTATCTCCTGGACATTTGACTGTGTCACCTCAGACGCCAGCCCACCACAGCACCAGGCCAGCCACCATGGCCCCAGGCTAGGCCAGCTCCCATGGACATAGGCTTCTGGTCTGCCCAAGCGCCATAATAAGCCCTGAAGACCCAACCTCCAGGCCAGTCCCTGAGGCTACCAGGTTACAGGCCAACTCCTGCAGCGTTAGACTCTAGGCTTGCTCTGAGGCCAGGCTGGCCCACATGGCCCTAGCTTCCAGGTAGGCTCCTGCAAAACCAGGCTCCTGGCCTGTCCCAATACCAGAACAGCCTCTGTGGATCTAGATGCTGAACCCACCCCCAGTAGTCCCTAGTGCATGATTGGGGACCTAGGATCCAGGTCTGTCCATGCAGATCAAGGTCCCAGCCCCATAACTACAGATTCAAGCACAAAGCCTGCCCTAGTGGACCCAGGCTCCAGGCAGCTCCCTGTGTACCCAAGCACTAGGCCTGCTGATCTGCTAACTCAGGCACCAGACCTGCACACCCAAGTATTCCAGCAGCAAGCCTGCCCACAAACACCATCAGATGGTCTGCACAGGCTGACTGGTGAGGGGTTTTGCCCAAGAGAGTCAATTTGTAAAGATTATAAGAGGTGCCCACTTCCTCAAACACCAACACAAGGAAATAAGGATCAGAATCAATGAAATACATCACCACCAAAATAAACTAATGATACTTCAATGAGTGACCCTAAAAAATGGAAACCTATGAACTGCCTGACAAAAAACTCAGAATAATCCTCTTAAAGAAATTCAGTCAACTATAAGAAAACAGACAACTAAATGAAATTAGGAACATAATGAATTAATAAATAGAGAAGTTCAACAAAGACACAGAAACCATTAAAAAACAAACAGAGATTCTAGAGTTGAAGAATATAATGATTGAACTGAAGAATTCATAAAAAGCTTCAACAGGAGACTCAACCAAGCAGAGAAAGAAGTAGTGAACTAGAAGACAGATTATTTGAAATCATCAGTAGAGGAGCAAAATAGAGAATGAATAAGAGTGAAAAAGCCTACGTGCATTATGGAATACCATTAAAAGAAACAATCTATGTATTACTTGAGTCCCAGAAGAACAAGGGGGGTGAGAAGGGGCAAGGTGCTTATTTTAAAGAAATAATGGCTAAGAACTTCCCAAATCTGGGGAGAGATTTGAAAATCCAAGTTCATGAAGCTATTGGGTAACTCCGAAATTTCAACCCAACACAGTCTTCTCCAAAACACATTATAATAAAACTGGCTAAAGTTACACACAAGAGAGAATTTTAAAATCAGCAAGAGGAAAATAATTCTTTACATATAAGGAACCCCCATAAAGTTTTTAGCAGATTACTTAGCAGAAACCTTGCAGATCAGGACAGTGGGATGATATATTCAAAGTGCTGAAAGAAAAAAATGCCAACCAAGAATACTTTACCTGGCAAAGTTGTCTTTCAGAAATGAGAGGTAGACTTACCCAAATGAACAAAAGCTAAGGGAATTCACCACCACTAAACCTGCTTTATAAGAAACTCTGAAAAGAGTTCTTTAATTTGAAATGAAAGGATACTAACTAGTAACATGAAAACATATAAAAATATAAAACATACTAGAAAAGGTAACTCTATAGTCAAATTCGGAATACTTTAATATTTTAATATGGTGGTATGTCAAATCACTTAACTGTAGTATAAAGGTTGAAAGACAAAAGTATTACAAATAAGTATAGCTACAATAATTTGTTAGTGTATATACAATATAAAAAGAGGTAAATTATGACATCAAAAACAAAATTATGGGGGGGGTGTAAATGGGTAGTTTTTGTATACAGTTGAAGTTAAGTTGTTATTAGCTTAAAATAGACTGTTATATCTATAAGATGTTTATGTAAGCAAAAATCTACAGTAGATACACAAGGAGAGAGAGAAGAGAATGAAACAATACCACTAGAGAAAATCATCAATTCACAAAGACAGCAAAAGGGAAAGGAGGAAAAAGGAATAAGGCAACTACAAAAGAGCTAGAATGCAGTAAGATAGCATTAATGCCTATCAATAATTACTAATTAACCTATCAATATTATTAGCTATCAAAAATTACTTTAAGTGTAAATGGATTAAATTCTCCAGTCAATAAGCATAGAGTGTCTGAATGGATTAAAAACAAGTCCCAACTATATTATGCTTACAAGAGATCTACTTTAGCTTTAAGGACACACATAGGCTCAAACTGAAGGAATGGAAAAAATATATTCCATGTATAAGGGAAACCCAAAAGGTAGCTATACTTAGACAAATACACTTTAAGTCAAAACTGTAACAAAAGATAAAGAAGGTCACTATAGAACAATAAAAAGGTCTATTCATCAAGAAGATATAACAATCATAAGTATATATGATTTCACTATCACAGTACCAAAATATATTAAGCAAATACTAACAGATCTGAAGGGAGAAATAGGCAATACAATAATAGTAGAAAATTTCAATACCCCACTTTCAATAATGGATCAATTAATTATACAACAGAAAATCAATAAGGAAACACTGGAGTTTAATTATACCTTAGCTCAGATGACCTAACAGAGATACAGAAATCCAACAGCAGCAGAATAACACATTCTTCTCAAGCAAACACACAACATTCTCCAGGATAGATCATGTGCTGTCACAAAACAAACCTTAGCAAATGGTATGGAACTATAAATCAATAACAAGAGGAAAAGTGAAAAATTCACAAATATGTAGAAATTAAAAATCATATCTCTGAATAACGTATGGGTCAAAGAGGAAATCAAAAGAAAAAATTTTTTAATATTTTAAAACAAATAAATTGAGAACAAAATACACCAAAACTTATGGGATGCAGCAAAGCAGTTCCAAAAGGAAAGTTTATAGCAATAAATGCCTACATTAAGAAAAAAAACATAAAAAAAAAGCGCCCAACCTAACTTTATACCTCAAGGAACTAAAAATATAAAAACAAATTAAGTCCAAAGTTAGCAGAAAGAAATAACAAAGAAAAAAGACCAGAGAAGAAATAAATGAAAGAGAAACTAGTAAAACAATAGAAAAGATGAACAAAAATAAGAGCTAGTTTTTTGTAAAGATGGACAAAACAGACAAATCTCTAGCTAGACTATCTTGGAAAAAAAGAGAAAAAACTCAAGTAAATAAAATCAGAAATGAAAACCATAAACCTCCTAGAAAAAAACAACAACAAGGGAAAAAGCTCCTTTGTACTGGTCTTGGCAATGACTTTTTGGATATGACACCTAAAGCACAAGGAGCAAAATAAAAACAAGTGACACTACATCAAACTAAAAATCTCCTGCACAGCAAAAGACAGAATCAACAAAATGACAAGACAACCTACAAAATAAGAGAAAATATTTGCAAATCATAGCAGATAAAATTTTAACCAATAAAAATATAAATTATGAAAAGAAAATACCATACCCATCCAGTTATACTGAATTTCCCTCTTACCAATCATATCCTACAGCAAAAGATGTTTCAATTACAGGAGCAATGAGTTTTGCAGCTGTCATGATGTATTTTTCTGCCATGGATTTTCTATATCAAACAAAAAAAAAAAGCTTATAAAGAAACATGGTATAAAATGTAAAAAAATTTAAGTGTAAAAATTATGTATCAAAGTTAACATACCATGAAGCCTGCAGAATGGTGAACAGCTACACTAGAAACCTGTAAGTCAGGTTGAAAATCAGGACTAGGAAATGGAAGCTGTGACTGCCTTCTGAGTCAACAGTTCACTTTTCTATTTTATGACACATGCTGACAAATTAAAGGAAGAGAATCTCTACAGAAAAATAGCTCTGCAGCTGATATTACATAACCTGCACTGTCTGTGGTCATTAAAGCAAATGGCCATTAAAGAAATATTGTGTGGTAAACAGTAAAACTGAATTACTACATGTCTCTATAGATTTGCCTCATTCATGTAAGTGGAATCACAGAATATGTGGTCTTTTGTGACCGGCTTCTTTTCTTTATCATAATGTTTATGGTTCACATGTATTGTAGTATATATCAGTACTTCATTCTTTTTTATGGCTAAATACTATTACATTGTATGGATAGACCATGTATTATTTATCCATAAGTTGTGAATACTTGGGTTGTTTCCACTTTTTAGATAGTATGGATAATGCTATGAACATTTGTGTGTAAGTTATTGTGTGGATATATGCTCTAATTTCTTTTGAGTACATACCTAGAAGAGAAATTGCTGGCTTAATCTTTTGAGGAATTTTCAGACTGTTCTCCAAAGTGGCTGTACCATTTTACATTCCCACCATCAGCATATAAAATTGCAATTTCTCTACATCCTCACCAATACTTATTACATCTTTTTAAAAAATATTTTTTAATTGATTTCAGAGAGAGGGAGAGAGAGAGAGAGAAACATCAAAGATGAGAGAGTGTCATTGGTTGGCTGCCTCCTGCACGTTCCTGACTGGGGATCGGGCCCGTAACCTGCACATGTACCCTGACCGGGACTTGAACCACAACCTCCTGGATCATAGATAGATGCTCAACCGCTGAGCCACGCCGGCTGGGCAAATTTGTCTTTTTTATTACAGTCATACTAGTGGGTGTGATATCGCCAATACTTGTTATTACGTTTGTCTTTTTTGTTTTTATTGTTGGAGAGTTTTATTAAGATTTGTGCTCTTTCTTTTACAAGTATTAGGTAGAATGTAGTGATAAAGCCACTTGAACCTGGAGCTTATTTTGTTGAAATGCCTTTAATTGCATGTTTATAATGTCTAATAAATAAAAAACTACTCTTAATTTCTATTTTTTTGTTGTTGTTGAATAAGAATGTATTTAATCATAACATGTTTATAGCAGTCAGAATGAAGATGTAGGTGGAGCCATCTTATATACAAACCATATACATTTTTTAGGACTCTAAGTTAATTTTACTAGTGTCCAGACACCTCGTTAAATTCTAAATCATGACAATGAGGGAAAATCAGATTAATCACTTAACCTTCATTTATATTTAATATGACTTTCCTAAACAGATGGGGAATCATGCCAGCCAAGCAAATAGATTTGTGAAATTTACACAGTCAAAATGCAACAAAGCAATTTCATCGTTTTCTCTTTTCTCTGCTTTGAGTATTCTAACTCATTGTAACCAAGAATCAGTGTAGTACTTGGCAACGGGAGGTACGGAAATGCAGTGAGGACATGAGCAACAAGTGACATGGAATCCCTGCAGACTCCCCTGGAGCCATGATCTCAGAAAAGTCAATGCAAGTGTGCAGCACAGAGACAGGCTGCTGTGTCCTTCCAACCATCGCTTCATGTTCTTAGATCCACCCTGAGCAGGGCAGCCAGAGCTGTTCTAAAAAAGGTTCACTTTATTCTTAATGTTCTCCAAGAGAAAGAAATGCCACAGTCTCCACAGGGATGAGGTAAAGATTAAACCAGATAATCCACGGAAAGGATTCAGCAAAGTGCTAGTCACATATAGCAAGTGCTCAAGCACTCTGTCAGCAAGGATTCTTAGTATTCAGCGATGCCCACAGAGCTGCTTTCAAGTACTTAGTGTTGGAAGCTATACTGATCAGCTGAGAATGCCTGTGGCCAAAAAGGTTTTGATAAATCAAATCTAAATCCCCCTCTCTATTATTCAGCAGTTTTTTGTACCTCTTAATATTTCCTCTACTTTTTATTTTTATTTTATTTTATTTTATTTTTTAAAATATATTTTTATTTATTTCAGAGAGAGGAAAGGAGAGGGAGAGAGAGAGATAGAAACATCAATGATGAGAGTGTCATTGATCAAGCCCACAACCGGGGTATGTGCCCTGACCGGGAATGGAACCCNATTTTATTTTTTTAAATATATTTTTATTTATTTCAGAGAGAGGAAAGGAGAGGGAGANTTAAAATATATTTTTATTTATTTCAGAGAGAGGAAAGGAGAGGGAGAGAGAGAGATAGAAACATCAACGATGAGAGTGTCATTGATCAAGCCCACAACCGGGGTATGTGCCCTGACCGGGAATGGAACCCCGATCACCTGGATCCTAGGTCAACGCTCAACCGCTGAGCCACGCCCGGCCGGGCTCCTCTACTTTTTTAAAAAATTAATCTTTATTGTTGAAAGTATTAGAGATGTCCCCTTTTTACCCCATTGACCCCTTCTACCTCATCTCTACTCCTTCCCCAGGCCTTGACCACACAATCATCTGTGTCCATGGATTATGCATATATGCATATAAATTCTTGAGTGAGATCATGTAATACTTGTCTTTCTCTGACTGGCTTATTTCACTTAGCATAATACTCTCCAGGTCCCTCCATGCTGTTTCAAAGGGTAAGAGATCCTCCTTTTTCACAGCTGCATAGTATTCCATGGTATAAATGTCTCACAGCTTTTTTATCCACTCAACTACTGATGGGCACTTGGGCTGTTTCCAGATCTTAGCTATTGTAAATTGCGCTGCTATGAACATAGAGGTGCATATATATTCTTTCTGATTGGTGTTTCGGGTTTCTTAGGACATATCCCTAGAAGTGGGATCACTGGATCAAATGGCAGTTCCATTTTTAATTTTCTGAGGAAAGTCCATACTATTTTTCACCAATCTGCATTCCTACCAGCAGTGTATGAGGTTCCTGTTTCTTCACATCCTTGTCAACACTTGTCATTTGTTGAACTGTTGATGGTAGCCATTCTGACAGGTGTGAGGTGATCTCACTGTTGTTTAATTTGCATCTCTCTGATGATTAGTGACTTTAAGTGTTTTTTCATATGTCTATTGGCCATCTGTATATTCACTTTGGAAGTGTCTATTTAGGTCCTTTGCCCATTTTTTAATTGGATTGTTTGTCTTCTTTTTGTTAAGTTGTATGAGTTCCTTATATATTTTGAATATTAACCCCTTACCAGGCGTATTATTGGCAGAATCTCCATTTTATTTTTAATGTTAAACTACTTCCTAAAGATTAAGGGCCCTCCATACATATAATGAAATATCATACAGACTTGAAAAGGAAGGAAATTCTGACACATTACAACATGGATGAGCCTTGAGGATATTATGCTAAGTGAAATAAGACAGTCACAAAAGGATAAATAATGTGATTCCTCCAATATGAGGTTCCTAGAGCAGACAAATTCATAAACACAAAAAGTAGAAAGGTGGGTGCCAGGGGCTGGTGAGGGTATGCTGTAGAGTTGTTCAATGTGTACCAAGTTGCAGTCTGGGAAGATGAGGAAGTTCTTGTAACAAATCATTGTCAATATACTTAACACTCCTGAACCATGAGGATTATGTTAAGATGGTAAACTATATGTTAAGTGTATTTTACTACAATTAAAAAAAAAATAAGGGCCCTGTATATCATGTGATATACTAATAATATACCTGTTGCATATTCAATAAATATTAGAAGTTTCAAAACATACTTGGCAGAGACTAGGTACCATACTGGAGGAAGGAAAAAATAAAATGGAAAGAATTTTGTCTTTGGGAGCTGAAATTTAATTGGGAAGCTGGACAAAAACACATAAAGATACAATTTACAAAAATAAAGGTAATATAAACAAAATTCCAATATTGCCCAAATGCAGAGGGAAAGCGAATTACAAGGAAATAGTAAGAGTAACTGAGGAAGAATAACTGGAATCAAACAAGCACTGCCGTTATTATTAAGGACAAAAGAGAATCCAGTGAAGTACAGAAATGGTGAAAAACAGGACTATTCAAGAAATACATTGCATATAATGAGCTTTGAAAGAAATAATCATATGCACATTCAAGTCTTTTATACAACTTTAACCAATATTATCAGATTTTAATTATTAAGTGCCCCAAATATTACCTTTCATGTTCCATTTGCCTTAGGTGGTCATTTTTTATAGCTTCAATCACTAAGTTAGTATGTGGATCATCCTGGAAAATAAAATTGGGAAAAAAATTAATAATTCAGAAATAAACACCAAGAACTTGGATTTCTAATCAACCTCACCACTAAGTAGTTGCAGAAAATTAACAGTAAATTAATCTTTCTACATCATTTTCCCTTATGTAAAGTAGAACTTCTTTTTCTTATTTCTGATTACCTGTCACATTTTCCAGTGAACTAACACAGATTCTGAGCAGCTGATAAAAACGTCAGGCTGGACAGAAAAGGACCAACTACACAGAAGCTGTGTGATATTATCAATTATAAACTCAAATACAAATGCTTTAATGATCATCAGTTACTTAGTATAATCCATATCTCTACTCCCTATTAAAAATACTTATTTTTTTACAACATATATTTTTTCTCATTATGAAATTAACATATAATAGTTAACATTTACTCAAAACTTCCTATATTCCAGGTACTGTTTTAAGCATTTCACATGCATACTCTCATTTAACCTTCACAACCCTATAAGGTAGGTTATTATAATTACATATAATTTATATATAAAGGAACTGAGGCACAAGAGAATAAGTACTGAGTGGTGGAGCCAACAACAGAGCTGCAATGCCCTTAAAATCTATTAAGAAAATCTATTAAATTTGACTTATGAAATTGATATTATTATACTATTTTGATTTATAAATACAGGCAATTTCATATGGTTTGACTTAATGTAAAATAATCGTGGCATAGCGATAATTTCTGTGTAAGAAATTTGAAAAATATTTTTAAAAGCATTAAGAAAAAAATCTCATTCCAGAAACTACTTTTTCTATTTTGGTATACTTCCTTCCAGGTTATGTTCATGTATGAGTATTTTTCACTTTATGTAAATTTCCTCAGGTCTTTGAAAATATGACTTTTATATTATGCTGCATTCTGTGAATAAGGATGAAGAATTACTTCTTTTCATTCCTGATGTATTTAGTACATATGGTTTAGTTCCCGCTGCTCAACAATGACTAAAGAAACAATAAAAAAGGCTTTATATTACTCTTTTTTAATTTTAATTTTACTTTTTTTAATCCTCACCTGAGGATATTTTTTCCAATAACTTTTAGAAAGATTGGAAGTGAGGGAGGGAGGAGGAGAGAGAGAAACATTGATATGTGAGAGGCATCGACTGGATGCCTCCTGCACACATCCTGACCAGGGCCGGGTTTGAACCTGCAACCCTTGACTGGGAATTGAACCCATGACTGTTAGGTGTGCGGGCCATATTCCATAGTACGAATACACCACATTTCATTCATCCAGAGTCTACGTGATGAACATTGACTGTTTCCACATTTGTTGATTATGATGCTACTGCTATGAACATTCACATATGGTCCTCTGAATGCTCTAACCACTGAGCAACACTGACCAGGGCTATTACTCTTTTTTTTAAATTTATTTTTATTGTTGAGAGTATTATAGATGTCCTGGCATGTAATCCTGTTTTTCCTAATATTCTTTTTTTTCTAACTAAAACTGTACAGTCTGTTTTAACCATACTTTCTAACCCTATTTCAATGGCACCCTATTCTCAAGCTAATTTAAATAATAAATAAAAATGATAAAATGCATTAATTAATCTTGTTTAATTAAAATACATTAATATAGGGCTGGGAGAAACCTAAGAAGTCATCCACTCCAACTTTTTCATTTGTGGAAAGAGAAAAGCATGGATAACTAAGGTCTTGTTACCACAGTCTTTCCCATACTCACACTTGGTGGAATGTATTTATCATCTTCATCAATTTCCAATGGAACAGCAATCAGTTTTTGGAAAGCCTTCTTCATTTTCTCTCGATCTCCAACTGCAAAGTAACTGAGAATGAGGTTGAAGCCAGCCTTCAGGTTCGGTGCCATGCTCATTATGTGCTCAAATGAATTAATGGCATCAGAGTACTGGCCAGTTTTAATAAATGTAACTCCAATGTTCTGCATAATTTTAATCCTAAAGAGAAATAAACAGGGATCAGCATTAAGTCTGAACTCTTCAGTACCGTAGTCAAGACATTCCACAGAGTTCCCTTCTTTTCTATTCTACTTGACTTTTTTTGCTTTGTTTTGCTGAAGTTTTATTGAGGCTTAATTCACATATCACAAAATTTATTTGTTTTCAGTACCTGCTTCAATGATTACTACTATATTCATACAGTTGTGGAACTATAACTGTATTCTTACTAAGTCATTCCCGTCACCCTAAAGAGAAAACCTATGTCCATCAGCAGTCACTCCCATTACCACCTCCAGCCCTGGGCAACATAAACCTTTCCTTTATTGATTGACTGATGAGAGAGAAAGGGGGGGTACTGATTTGTTCTTTCACTTATTTATGCATTCATTAGTTGATTATTCTTATATGTGACAACCAACTTAGCTACCTGGCCAGGGCCCTAACCTGTGTTTCTGGATTTGCCTTTTCTAGATGCTGCATATAAACGGACTCATGCAAATGTTACATTTTTGTGTTGGTGTCTCTCAATCAGCAGAATCTTTTGAAGGCTCCTCATATTGTAGCATATGCCAGCACTTCATTCCTTTCATTGTCAAATAGTATGAATACACCACATTTAACTCATCCATAGCCTACTTGATGGACACTGATTGTTTCCACTTTCGGTAATTATGAATGCTGCTGCTAAAAACATTCATATATGATCCTTTGTGACATGTTTTCACTTTCTTGGGTATGTACCTGAGAGTGGTACATACAGTACCACTGGTCATACAATAAATCTGTGTTTAACTTTTTAAGAGATTGCCTAATTATTTTCCAAAGTGGCTGTACCATCACCAATGTATGAGGTTTCTGATTTCTCTGCATCTCTTCAGTACTTGTTATTGCCCATCTTTTGGTTATAGACATTCTAAAGGCCACAATCCCATCTTATTTCTAACTACTTCTCAACATAATCCCTCTATTTCAACTACATTCATTCATTCATTCATAATTCTCTGACCAGATCATGAACACTGATTTCCTTGACTCTTCTTGTGTTGTTCCTTTGTCTGGAATGTTTCCCCTTCTTTCCTCTTCACTTAAGTCATTTATCTCAAGTACACCTCCTTCATAATGTCTTTCCTTACTATTCCTGTTCTCAATAATTATTCCCTCAACTTAATTACTATAGCACTTTTTTTTTTTTGTGAATTTAGAGAGAGTGAAACGAAGGGAGGGAGGGGAGGAGGGAGGGAGGAGAGAAACATCGATGTGAGAGAGACACACTGATTGGTTGCCTCCCTCATGCACCCGAGCCAGGCCAGGAATGCAACCTGCTACCCAGGTATGTGCCCTTGACTGGGAATTGAACCCGCAACCCTTTGGTGTGCGGGATAATGTTCTAACCACTGAGAAACACTGCCAGGGCACTACAGCACCTTTTGATTCCTGATTATTAAATACTTAATATATGCTGTCTAATATTATTACCTTCTAAAAAGCTCAAATTCTTGGCCTCACCTGGGGTTAAAAGTACTTTAAGGGCACTGTTTTATAAGCCAGGTATTTACTGATAAGATGTCGTGCATAATTTAAAAACAAATGATCACGAAAGGTGGCATTTACACATAATTAAGTTTCACAGAGGGAGTGTACTGGGACTAGGGGAAATTATGACCAGTAAATATCCTGGAAACCTATGTTCCTGAATTTATTACCAGACCATAAGGTAATTTACTGTGTCTGCTCTCAAAATATTGTAGGAATAGAAAGTATCCCATTTTCCCCCTCCAACCCTGTCTTCTCAGATTCAAAAGCAATCCCTTCCTCCCAAGATTTCACTCTCAATCTATAGCACCAATGTCAGAGTGTCTAAATTTCTAGCCTTGTTTTCGAGAGTCTGGCATGTACTAAAGGACTAAGTTAGATTTTGTGTTGGCAATTAGCTGCATTTGGTGATTATCCCCTATAGAGGGCAAGTAGTTTAGTTTTACTTCAATTGGTCACATATTATGCCTTTAACCTTTAACTTGTCATTATACAAATGTGTGCAAGTACAGACATCACATAAATCTAACACCTCTCATGTACAAACACCTCAAAATGTTCAACCCACTGACAACAGGTCAGAAGAGTTATCTTGTTTCTGAAAAATAACACAAATTTTACAAGTTATCATTATGTAAACTCACCTCATTTCTTTATGGACACTTGGAATTTGATCTAATGCCATCCGGTAGAATTTAATGGCTTTGGAATAATTTCTTTGCTTTAAGTAAATATTTCCCATATTCACTTTCAATCTTCCTAATTTAAAAAATAAATGAATATATAATATTCTGTTTTTCATTTTTTTTCTATGATATTTTAGATAACCATAATTCATATTATTTGAAGCTTTCTCAAGTTATAAAGGTTCAGGCATTACCTAAAATTCTCCCTTTAGAATAGTCATACTATTTTCACATATCCACAAACTAATTATGTGAGGAAATGGAACTTAAGACAGATGGATTCCTAAAAAATACAACTAGAAAACAACTGATTTACATTAGAAAACTGGAGTTGTGTTCTCCTAAGAAAAACATGGAATTTTAAAATTAGACTCAATAATGCTACATACATTTTAATATGACATTCAAAAAATGATATTAATAAACTTTAATACGGATATCAAAAACTACACAATGTGCATGCTAGATATAAATAATAGTCTCTTGGGAATGAATTATACAAGGGGAAGCACACTTGATGGGGTTGCCATGCCTCACTCTACCTGTGATGACAGAGCACATTTTTTGTTTACTATTAGGTAATATACCTCATACCAACTATATTTCCTCATTTGCATTTGTGTGATTTTAATATAAATTGTATCTTTAAGCAGGACACCACTATATAAATAACAAATTTATTTTAGAGCATAGGTCATTTCATTGTAAGAAACCATAAAGTGAGGAAACATAAATGAACACCACAAAAGAACTAAACTTACTAGACAAACTGACTATAAACACTTACCTGCATTGATAAACATCTTGTTTTTCACTATAACTTGATATGTGTTTAGTGCTTCAGCATACATTTCGTTAGCTGAATACTGACTGGCCAAGTTGAAAAGAACCTAAGGAAGAAAAATATTGCAAACAGACACATAATGACCATTTTAGGCCCCTTTTGCTTATAACCTTTCTAGAGATTAAAGTCATATAACAAAGTTAGTTGCTTATATCAAGATACCCAACCAATTAGAAAATGAAGTAGACAGAAAATCTTGCATTCCAAATGAACCAGAACATTCAGATAGGTAAGGCTGACCTCTGAATTTCACCTTAATTTCCTATGTATTCTTTCTATTTTAGGTAGTATTTGCCATCCATTAATCTCAGGAAGACCTACACAGAATAATCATGTCTTCTTAATGTTGCTAGTGATAAAAGGAATAAGCAATATAGTGAACCAAATTCTCTTCATAAATATAAATTAAACTTCATGTAGGAATATCTTAAACTTTTACTTGAATAGTAATTCTCTACATGCAAAATTATAATTTAAGTTATTAAGTTATAGCAAGTTATCTCCCTAGAGGTAAAAAAATGATCATTGTAAATTGGTCATGGAATTTAAAAATATTTGCTACAAATAGTAAACATCTAAAATTCTTATTTAGTTTCATATGTACTTTTTTCCATGTGTTTGACACATAACAACTTTTCCCACTAAAAATATACCCTTTAAAACAGCTCTATCAACATCAAGGAACTCTCTTTTTAGAATTAAAGAAATTTTGCTAGAAATTAGTTTTTTGGTTTTTTTTACTACCCTTACAGAACATTGTCTTATTTGCCTCATTTGAAGTTCTTGAAAATCACAGGCCAAAAAGTCCACATTAGAATCTAATTAAAGTAACCACACTGAACAGAGCATAAATATCAGCAGTCTTCAAGAAATAGCCATTGGCTGGTGGTTTGTGAGCACTTACTAAGTTATTAAAGACAACTAATCAACAAACTAAATAAAAAAAAGATCTTTGCCCTGGCCAGATAGCTCAGTTGGTTAGAATGTGGTCCTCATAAACCAAGGTTGTGGGTTCAATCCCCAGTCAGGGCACATACAAGAATCAACCAATGAATGCATAAATAAGTGGAACAACAAATATCTCTCTTTCTCTCTCTCTCTCTCTTTCTCTAAGTCAATCAATAAATAAAGTGTATAAAGAGATCTTCACACAGACCAAAGACAACAGTGTCTCATGAACTCTTGCTCAAAGAAAGATTATCATTAATCTAATTCTAGGCATCTGAGGTTCAATAAGATTTTAAAAATAAAAGGAAACAACAAATATAAAAGATAAAAGACTTCTGGAATCTACAAATCCTAGGCAAAATAATTTTACTCAACAGGTATTGCATACTTACTGAGTAAGTTAAATCCAGATTGATGTTTTCTGGAGTTGTCACTTGCTCACGTTGTCTCACCAACACTCTCTCTTTTCTTCCTGCGTCTTTCGCCTTTTCTAAGGCCTGAAATCAAGTTTATACTCTGAGCCTTCATTATGAGCATCTGTACATTTGGGAAACACCTGCATGCAGCTGGCTGGATGCCATACCCATCCCTGGATGCCCAGGGCCCGGCAGTACCCTTAACACACACTCTCCTTGACAACAAAAGAAGCCAGACCATTTGCTTAAACTGGAGCTCACCGTCATAAAAATATGTGTTTATTCTGGAAAAGAAGAGGGAGTCTGAGGGACAAAATGTACAGTAGCTTTGCCCCAAGTCCAGTCTCTTCATTACCATGCCTTCCACTACTTTTAGGTTTGACTATGCCTTTGATTTTATTTTTTCCTCCAAACTCCTCAATCTTTGGGTATTTTAATTCCATCTTATGTGATAGGAATTTAGATGGATTTGTTTGGTTTCTGGGATGCCCAAAATCTAGACAAGTCACAGGATAACTGCTACTCAATGTTATGGCAGATGCTTAGTTTGGCTCTCACATTCTACTTAGAATGCCAGGAACTTTCTATTCCTCTGAGACTAACCATACACAGATTAATGCAACAGGAGATTTTTTTTTTTAGAACTAGATTTAAAAAGGCACCAGTTTTATCAGCAACAAAAGTAGCTTTTCATATTGAACATTCTTCCCTAATGGTAGTCATTAATCCGATAACTAAAGTCACAGAAATTATATTTATATAGTATAACAATCAAAGTAATATGAACAAAAGCAAATTAAAAGAAAATATTTACTAATTAAAAAAAAAGAAAGAAAGCAGAGTAGGATTCCCAACAAACAAACCATGATTTTGCAGTCTACTTAGTAAAAAATACTTTACTGTAGTGAGACTTAAATAAAAGAGAGCTCTCAGCACTGTGAGCGGATGATGTTAGCTATGCCTTTGAGCAGGCTGAATTTAATCCATTAGTCCACCAGGCTTCAAAATTTAATCAACAAATACATTACAATTTTTTTCCCCTACCAAAATGACTAATGTCAAAAATTATAAAATCAGTCAACTGGTCTAACATCAGAGCTTATGTAGTTACAATTGCAGGTTCTCAAAATAATTGCTTCAGTGAAAATTCTAAGGCCAATCAATAGCAAAACAAAAAATATTTATCTATACAGATACTTGTATGTATGCACATACAAAACCAGATATATACATATACACACTTCATAATACTGAATCCTGTTAGTTTATAAACTTACCAGTTTTAAGTCTCCACAACTGTTGGCAATACAACTTTCTTCAACCAACTCATTTACTTTCTTCTCTAGTTGTCTAATCTTTTCTTCTGGACTATCAAAGAAGAAAGCAGGTAATCATTCAACCTCTAATGATGTATACTAAAATTAAACTTACTTTTAACATTTCCATTATATGTGCTTTTCAACATGAATAGGTCATAGATAAGACAAATGTAGAAATGGCATTAAGGAGCAGATGTACTATTGTTTTTAACAATTATATTATGTAATTATTCAGAATAACAGTGAAAATAGCTAACATTTACTTAGTGTAAGTATAATTTCACACTGAGCTACATGCTTTACCCTAATTGTGGCATTTAATCCTCATAACCACATTTAATACAAGTACTATCATTATTCTGTTTACTGATAGGGAAACTGAGATTTAGAAAGTTAAGTGCTACACCCAAGATCACACAGCTAGAAAGTTAGAGGGCCAGGATTTAAACCCAGTAAGGTAAGTCTAGGAGCCATGCTATTGTATTATTATCTCCAAGAGAAAGCAGATCTTTTTTTCAGATGTATGACAAATGGAAACTTTTAAAAAAAAAAATAAATCTCTATTGGTTTCAGAGAGAGGAAGGGAGAGGGAGAGAGAGGTAGAAACATCAATGATGAGAGAGTCATTGATCGGCTGCCTCCTGCATGCCCCCCCACTGGGGATCGAGCCCACAGCCCGGGCATGTGTCCTGACTGGAAATTGAACCTTGATCTCCTGGATCCTACGTTGATGCTCAACCGCTGAGCCATGACCAGCTGGGCCAAATGGAAACTTTATATGGTGGTTAGGAAAACTGAAGCTCCCCATAAAAGAAATAATACAGTAATTATTATTTACTACCAGATAGGTACTGAAGAGAAGGTTTCTAACAAGGTGAGAAGTTTAAAAACCCTGACTCCATTAGTGGCAAACACAATACCTCAAATCAGTCACCTTTCAAAAATGACATAAATTTCTTTTTGCTCCTACTTTCTTTCAGCAAAATACAACACTCTGAATGCACATCAGTGCCTAGATAAAATTTTACCATGAGTATATCGGAACACATTGTATTTCTCTTAACCCTCCAGAAATGTGACTTTAAAAAATACAGGAATAAACTTAACAGCATAGCCTTGTCTACAGAATTATATTTTTCATTGGAACCTGCCTACAAATTTCATCAGGTGGAATATAAATTTTATGAGTTTACAAAGATCTGCAAAATTCTAACTAATAAATGAGCATAATAGATGGTGGTTTCATAAAGGTTACAATGTATAGAATTCTATTTTCTGGTTGCCAACAGTTTGTTATTACTAAACCTAAAATATCAATGTAAAATTTTAAAGCAAAAATCTGTAAGAGAACTCTATGAAGACACTCAAAGTAACTAACCTGTCCATATCAAATGCCAAAAAAAATTAAAAAATGGACTCTGTATGCAGACAGTGCTGGACACCAACCCACATAAGAGCCTGCCATCCACCCTTCCTTGCATGCAGGATCTACACTCGTCAAGTCTCATTCTGTTGCCAAATGTTTGGTTCAGTCATAGGCAAGTGATGAGAAGTGAAGGCACATCTTCTTGGGGTGGAGGGTCCTAGAGAGATTTTCTTTGCTTTTTTAAAAGGGTCCTGAGACTGGAACTTTCTGATTCCAGCTAGGCTTTATCAATGTTCTGATTCTGAAAATTTTGAGCTCTAATGGCACTCTTGGCATCATAAGGATGGGCAGGCTCTTGAGAAAAGCCAAGAGAATCAGAGGGAAAATGAACCAGGGCTGATGTTACTGGGAAGTTAAATTAACCATCCCTAGACCTGCCCTTCCTCCAGACTTCCTGTTAATAACATAACAGATGTTCTTATTGTGTGTGTGTATTTCTGATGTGTCTTCTGTTGTTAGCAGCTAAAAGGATCCAGAATGATATAATATTTTTAAAAAATAACACACTTTTATTAGCAGACATGCTGTCATTAACTAGAATACAAAATAAACTGATTTTCTATAGAGATCTTTGTTAGTTGAAAATGGAAATTATGTAATTTAAACAAAAGCCCAAATACTGGATTTAAGAATTACAATTTAATAATACCTACTTTATAGAAACAAAACAGTGCAGTGGTTAATAGCATGAGCTCTGGAAATAGCCTGGTTTCAAATCTCAGTCCTGCCATTTATTAGTGCTACCAAGTCAAGATCTCTGTTCTTTATATTCTCTCTCTACAAACTAATGATAATAATAGCTCAGTCTTCATTTATCTCTAAAACTGCACAGTGCTTGGCACCCAGTGAGTACTCAGTGTTTGCTTCTAAAATTATTTGTAAAATGTACACATCAAAGGAACCTAGATACAAGTACTTATATACAGCTGAATTTATACCATAGTTTTTGGCTACTTTCTAACCACTAGCACAAAACTAAGTTAATTCAGTAAAAATTAAATTTCTCAATACTGATACGACTGACTTCATGTTCTCTTAATTCTTTTCTCTGAAATATTCTTTTAAAATAAGCATATTTTATTACATTTACAACCCTGTTTGGCCTTCAAGAGAATCAATATTGGGCTCCATAAAAATTAAATATATCTTCAAGTCAAATAATATTATAATAAAACTATACAGTATACACATGGCTATTTTTCTTAGGTTTGATTCTTTTGCTATTCCAAGAACTTGGGATGATATCATAATTACTATTCTGCTGAAACAAACTTTTAAAATACTTAAAAATTATTTATTTGGAAAACAACAACAACAACAATGAAACAACAGCATAAGGACTTACGTACCTATCTTCATTCTTGGCTTCCAAAGGAGGAGCAGGGCCCCTTGATTGACCAAGGGGGTCAAATGCAGAGCCTGAGACACAATTCAAAAGTTCATATTTAATCTGCAACCCAGTATAACTGAAGAAAATATAAAACCTTGCACAAGTTATTTATTTATTAAGTGACTTGGATTACCTATTTATCAAGTAGGCAGGACATTTATTATGTCTACATAAATATTTTGTATATCAAGAAATTGGTGAGATTTTTTACATAAAACTTTTTGCGTAAATAAAACATGTGTGTTAACATACAAAAACAAAAATGAGATGATCTCTCAGTATTTACTCCTCCCTCACAGTAATCTATCCCTATTATGAACTCTAAATTATCAATCATGTGAGTAATAACCTGGTATTGGCTTTTTAATTGTCCTTGCTGGTATAATAAACATTAATTTTTGTCCTAAAAATTTTATTTTAAAATTATTACTTAAGTTATCATGTAAAAAAATACTATTTTTACCTTTAATTTTAAAAAATGAGCTCTAACTTATATAAAATAAAACACAAAATTGTAATGTACAATTTATTCAGTACAATTTAACAAATTACTGCCAGTAGAACTATATCCCAATTGTGATGCAGAGTATTTTCATCACCCCTTTCCTTTCTTATGGTACTTAAAATAATGGCACACCTTATAATCAATGGCATGTTAGATTTTAAATGGTAATAATATTTACACATACAAAAACAGTAACAAATATTAAAAGCTCTGAAAAAATTAAGAGACAAACCTCTCAAAGCTGCTTTGGTAAAACCAGCTGCTCTCACTGCTGTCATAGGTCTAGTAACTCCATCCTTAAAAGAATAGGAATCATTTAAAAGTATTTACAGTTCTGCAAATGACACATACCTTAATATAACTGCAATTTTTAATACTGATTTTTAATCACTATCTACTTATTCTCTGCTTCTGCTCCTGTGTGTCAATCCTGTCTCTACTTTCCCTTTCTCCTATAACTATAATTCCTTGATTAACTGGGCTTACTTTGTTTGAAAAGAAAAAAAACCCCAAAATTCATGGATTTTTACGTAGCACCTTATGTAGCCTATTAGCTGGCTACTCCCCTACTTTTGGTTGGTATCCTCTATGCCCATGAGAGAAACCACAGACATGGTTGTAAACCAGAGTGCACCATACAAGCAAACCATCAGTTCATGTCCACTCCCCAGTAGGATCCCATCTGAGACCTCAGGTAAGTCCAGAGACTGCCTCCAAAGATTTCAAACAGTCCAACCTGTAGCCCACACTTTAAAGAATCAGGGTCATTATATAAATAATATCTTCTTTAACATTTTAAATAATATAATAAAAAAAAGAAAACCTTGGTAATATTCTAAGTCACAAGAGAGGCCCCAAATAAACAACCACATGACAGAGATACCTGGACAGCCCCTGTCACCGGTCTTCCCATTGATGATGCCAGGGATGTCTTGGACTAGTAAACAGAAAACTAAGTTAAAACAACTCCAAAAAAAATCTACACTTTATTTTACAAACAAAGTTATAAAAGTTTTTCATAACTTTTTTCTTCATTCTATTGGCAAATGAACCTAAACATATTTTTTTCCATGTATCATCTGAGGACATAGGGTCAAACAGTAAAACTCTAAAGCAGGCATCAGCAAACTACAATCCTCAGTCTTTGTAAATAAAGTTTCATTGGAACACAGCCATGCCTGTCTGTGGCTGCTCCTGCACTAGGAATGCAGATTCCTGTACCTGCAGGAGAGACTGTCTAACCTGGAAAGCCTAAACGCCCCGGCCCCTCACAGCAAATGTTTGCTGTCTCCTGTTCTGAAACATCACCAAAAATCAAATTTATAAGTAATACATGTGTAGGCTGATTAATAAAAGCAAGTTTCATATGGCACACAGTTATATATAAGGTTACTTTCTTCATTCATATAAAGGGACAGCATGAAGGCAACTGCCCTGGACCTCTAGGTTCTGAAACCATTTTTCTGACCTCTAAGAAATACTATCATAAGGACTGGGAAATGATATACCACCTCATTCACTTATGTTTCTCCCATTCTTCTGTTATTTCATATAAACATCCAAATTTGGGCAACATTTAAAAGATTTTCCTTTATGGATTTTTATATAGCATCTTTCCTCCAAAAATCTCAAATAAAAGCAAGGCCCAAATATATGCCTTTGAAATTTTTCTTAAATTTTACTTTTTTATGTATTAATTAATAAGTTTTTTAAAATTACAATCATTACATTTATATTACATCTAACTTCACATAAAATATATGAATGGAATACACATGAAACTTGGTCATATTATATAAATAAATGAAAGGGAGTCAATCAACACAAGGTTTACAAATAGAACAAGATAATAAAATATTTTATGATATATTTACAATCAAAATGACTAGAATATTCAAAGCTATTAATCAAATAGGACTTTTATAATGTTCATAACTATTCAAAATAGAAAATATATCTGGGTCATGGACAGAAAAATAGCCCAAATTGCTTAGAACTGCCTAAAGTGAACTTATGTTTAAGATAAAGCATCTTAATATTTTCACCTTAAGAAAACCTACCCCATATCCAGTAGCTACAGGTCTAGTAACTGCTGTGCTTGGTATTTTAGCAGTTATCTTGGGGAGGGGGGAAAAAAACATAGTTAATAGAATTCAGATTAAGCTACATAATAGAAAACTGGAAAAAGTGGGAAATATAGACTTATCAATAGAGAAATGTTTATACAATATTTAGAATAATTTCCTTTTAAATTATCCTACATATTAAGGAGCTCAGGAATTTTAGGCATTGAGAAGGAGACTATTCTGGAATTAATTTTATAGGAGAAAGGGGACTTGAGAATGACCCGAAGTGCCACTAGGAAAGATCAATTTTCATGGTTGCTGCCATCATTCATCATGCATTCTTATTACTGCCAGCCACTAGGTCTAACAATAGACAGGACTTGTAGTCAGAGAATCTGGGTTCAAATCTCAGCTTTCCTCTATTAGCTGAGTTTATTTAATCTCTTTGAACCTAAAGTTTCTCATCTTTGAAATAAGGATCCAAGGTATGTATGTTGATCACAAAATTATAGTTGAAATCAAACAGGATCATGTAGGGAAACTGGTCAGTTGTTAGGCATATTTGTTTGAAATATTTGATTAAAACATCAATAGAGAAGTTCTACTTCTGGCTATGATGGACTAGTTTTAAATAACATTGCCAGTAAGAATTAAAAAGCTGGGGACAAAAATGTTTTTGTAAAATATCAGTTTGAATATATTAGAGAACCATTAAGGCAGTGAAGAACTGCAAAGTCTCCAGATGAGGAAAAGGGAAGGCTGGAGAGGTGAGCCAGCATTAGGTTTTGTTTTCTCCTACAACCATCTATTTGTTCCAAAGGCATGGCTGAGAAGCTATACATAGCTTTTTGTACACTAACAGGTCTGAGGAAATACACATTTAAACATCGAAGTTTGGGGCTGGCGAAGGTGGCTGCCCTTGTAATCCTTCTGACTTTAGACTGATCTCAAAAGGCTAAGACTGAAAAGTAAGTTAGAAGTATACCAGCCCTCATAAGGACTAAAGTTCCTATTTAGAATCATCTCAAACTCAACAGGATCAGGGTAACCCAGGATTTCTAGTGCCTTTAGGGGCATAAGCAAGAGTGAATTCTCTCTAGTAAAAGATGAGATCACTTCAGGCTATCCTATCCAGTAGAACTTTCCTGCACTGATGGAAACATCCAATACCTGCCCTGTCTGATGAGATAGCTTCTAGCCATACGTGGCTGGCTGCTGAGCATTTGAAATGTGGCTAGTGTAACAAGGATCTGAATTTTTAAATTTTATTTAATTTTAAAAAACTTAATTGTAACTCACCACATGTGGCTAGTGGTTATCATACTGGAAAGCACAGACATATAGCCTTAAATTATCTCTCAGATTTTTCATTTACAATGTCTGGCATTCATTCAAAAGCAACCAGACATATAGGAGGCAAGACTACCTAACAAAGAGCCAAGAAAAACAAAAGAATGAAAAGAAACCCAGAAGGTGATACATATAATGAAAATATCAGACACAGATTTGAACATAACTATGCTTAGTATGTTCAATGAACTAAAACACAAGACTGATAATTTCAGCAGAGAATGTGAAAATATTAAAAAAAAGAATAGAAATTCTAGAACTGAAAAATAGCTGAAAATAATGTAAAATTCTAGCATTGTCCAAGAAGCAGTAAAACACTAATTTATACCAGACTTTAATAAGTTAAAGATGAACATTATAATCTTTAGGAAAACACTAAGAGAATGGTTATAGATGTAAACTCCCAAGATAACAGTGGGGGGAAATGGAATAATAAAAAAAAAACAAAAGAAGGCAAGAAAGAAAATGAAATATAAGAGGCAGAAAGATTGAAAAGCAAATAGTAAGACAATAAATTTAAGCCAAGCCAGTAATTTCATTACATGCAAATAGACTATATACTTCACTAAAACAATAAGATTATCAGACTGTATTTATAAAGCAAAACTCAGTTACATGTTCCTAATAAGCAACATGTCTTAAATATATGGATATGGAAAGGTTGGAAGTTAAAGATCAGGACAGATATATCATGAAAACACTAGACAAAAGAGAGTGGGTATAGCTATATCAATATACTAATATCTAACAAAATAGACAAACAGCATTACTAGAGATTGAAAGGTGTTTCATAACAATAAAAGGCTCAATTTACCATGAAAATATAACATTTCTAAATATTTTTGCTCCAAATATGTAAAGCAAAAAACTTAAAAAAAAAATCTACAATCATAGTGTAAAATTTGACCATATCTTTTTCATTAATAAGTAGTTAATGGCCCCCTCTCCCAAATCAGTAAAAATATAAGATACTAAAAACATACACATTAAAAACTTGACCTAATTGACAGACAATAGGTCTTACAAAAAGCTGAAAAGGGTAAGGTCTCAGGACTTTTTTCTATGAGAACAAACTGAAGGAAAGATATATATCTATATATATCTTTTTTGCTATTACTCTTTTTAACTATTTACAAATGACTAAATCTGTTTTTTGTTTTTTGTAAGCATTGGTAAGATCTCTTCAGATAAAGTGATCCTACTGTCTCCTCCTTTATTCACTTTACACCCTCATTTGTCGTACCTTTCTTCCCATTAACATTCAACTGTAAATTTACCCTAATCAGTCTCTTCTGATTGTCCCAGTGACAAATAAGTTGTTATGGTCCCATAACAACTTACACCCTTTCTTACAAAACTTTCTATATTTCACTATTTCACTTAGTACCAACCTTGTTTGTTTTCAACTACAAAAGCTTGGCAGATTCCATACACTGTGCAAGTCAGATGTCTATGCTTTGCATGACATACACAAAAATTTTAATAATACTGAAGAAAATCACTCTAGCAATTTAGGTACTGATGGAATATTAATTAATGGAGGACCATTAATCCAAGAGAGTAATTTGTAAATTAAGCTCTGCTGTTTTGAAGGATCAATATTTATATAACTTTAAAAATTAGAAAGGCAAATATTTTTCAAACAATGAGTGATTTAGGTAAACATATTCCAAACCTTACATAAATAGAATTTATATTCTCAAAAGCATAAAATATTATTTGATCTAAAATGTAACTACAAAACATTGCTAAAAGAAATTAAAGAAAAAACATCCCATGTTCATGGATTGGAAAACTTAATATTGCTAAAATGTCTATACTACCAAAAGCAATCTACAGACTCAATTCAATCCCTACCAAAATCCCAATGCCATTTTTTGAAGAAATAGAAAAATTCATCCTAAAATGAATTTGAAATCTCAAGGGACCCTGAATAGCCAAAATAATTTTTAAAAAGAACAAAGTTGGGGAACTCATACTTCCTGATTTCAAAACAGATTACAAAGCTATGGTAACAAAAACAGTGTGGTACTGCTGTAAAAACAGAACAGACCAATGAATCAGAACAAAGGGCCCAGAAAAAACCCCTCATGTATATGGTCAAATGATCTTCAACAAGGTGCCAAGACCACACAATGGGAAAAGGTCAATCTTTCCAAGTGATAGTGGGAAAACTGGATATCCACATGCAAAAAATGAATTTAGGCCCTTATCTTACACCACACACAAAAGTTAATTCAAAATAAATAAAAGGCCTAAACATAAAACCTAAACTATAAAACTCATAGAAGGAAGCACAGGGGAAAAGTTTAATGACATTGGACTTAGCAATGATTTCTTGGATGTGACACAAAAAGCACAGGCAACAAAAGCAAAAATAGACAAATGGAACTACATAAAACAAAAAAATTTTGTGCATCAAAGGACACAGTCAACCCACTGAAAAGGCAACCTACCGAATGAGATAATATATTTTCAAATCACATATCTGATAAGGGGTTAATATCCAGAATATAGAAAGAACTCCTAGAACACAGTAACAAAAAATCAAATAACCTACTTAAGAAATGGGCAAGGAAATTGAATAGACATTTCTTCAAAGATGATATACAAATGGCTAATAAGCATATGAAAAGATACTCAACATCATCAATCATCAGAGAAATGTAAATTAAAACCACAAGAGAATCACCTCAGACCTATTAAAATAGCTACTCTCAAAAAATAGAAAATAATATTTTTTGGCAAGGATATGGAGAAATTGGAACCCCTGTGCACTGTTACTGGGATTGTAAAATGGTGTAGCCACTATGGAAAAGAAAAAGGAAGCTCCTAAAAAAATTAAAAATAGAACTACCATATAATCCAGCAATCGCACCTCTGGGTATCTATCCAAAGGATTGAAAACAAGGTTTCAAAATGTTATGTGCACAGTCATGTTCACAGCAGCATTACTCACAATAGCTAAGAAGTGGAAGCAACCCAAGTGTCCACAGAACAAAATGTAGAGTATTCATACAATGGACTATTATTCAGTATTAAAAAGGAAGAAAATCCTTTCACATGCCACAACATGGGTGAACCTTGAGAATATTATAATAAGTGAAATAAGCCAGTCACAAAAAGACAAATACTTTATGGTTCCACATATATGATATATCAAAAGTAGTCAACTTTATAGAGACAGAAAGTAGAAGGGTGGTTGCCAGGGCCAGGAGGAGGGGGAATAGGAAAGTTGTTTAATGGGGACAGTTTTCAGTTTGGGAAGATGAAAAGGTTCTAGAGATCAGTTTCATAATAATGAGGGGAAAAAAATATATATATATATATTTGTTAATTCTCCGGAGGATATTTTTTTCCATTGATTTTTAGAGAGTGGAAGGGGGGGTGGGAGAGAGAGAAAGGGAGAGAAACATTGATGTGAGAGACATCGATTGGTTGGCTCCTGCCTGTGCCCTAACTGGGGCTGGGGATCGAACCTGCAACTGAGGTACACGCTCTTGACCCGGGATCAAACCTGCGACCCTCAGTGCTGCGGGCGGACACTCTAAGCACTGAGCCAAACAGGACAGGGCAAGAATAAATATATTTAACACTAACTGAAATGTACATTAAAAAATGGTCAAGGTGGTAAATTTTGTTATGTGTTTTTTATCACAATAAAAATTATTTACTTACTGGAGGTCTTCTGCCATGACTGGTTCTCACAGCTTGCTGAAAAGCTGTGTCATTCTCCAATTCCTAAAATGAAAATTAACATTCAACATGAAATGAGAATTGAATTTTTAAAAAAAAATGTTGAACCTCTGCTTGGCTGGAGTGGCCAGGTTGGAGCGTTGTCCCATGCACAGAAAGGCTGCCAGTTTGATTCCTGGTCAGGGCACATACTTGAGTTGTGCGTTCCACCCTGGTCCGGGTGTGTACAGAAGGCAACCGATCTCTCTCTCTCTCTCTCTCTGTCTCTCCTCCTCCTCCTCCTCCCTCCCTCCCTCCCTCTCTCTCCCTTACTGTCTCTAAGCATGGACTCAGGTGAAGTTTTTTTTTAAATTTTTTTTTACACTTTTTTATTGATTTCAGAGAGAGAGGAAGGGAGAGGGAAAGATAGAAACATCAATGATGAGAGAGAGTCATTGATCAGCTGCCACCTGCACACCCCCTGCTGGGGATCGAGCCCGAAACCTGGGCATGTGCCCTGACCAGGAATGGAACCTTGATCTCCTGGATCATAGGTGGATGCTCAACCACTGAGCCATGCCAGGTGGCCTCAGATAAGGACTAAAAAAAAAAGTTGAACCTCTTCTGTTTGGTATTCACGATCCTCTCTAATTCATCTTATCCCATCTGTGACGTCCCAGTAGGAGCTCATGGTCTCCTGTCTTCAAATCTCCCTCCTTCACACTGCCCAAAATATTAAGGTTCTTTCCTCTGCTAAGAAGAGGAGTACCGATAATGTTGTTCAATTGTAAGGACACTTTACGGGCCACTGTTTAAATGGGTGGCGTCATTATGTCTAGTTAAAGATCAAGTACACAAGGATATGGCCTTTCTTCTGCTTCTTTCCTCCAAGTAGCTTGAGCAGTAGGAACAGAAAACATATCCTTTTCTCTTTCTCTCTTCCTCCCCTCTCTTCTTCCATATGTGGGACCATGACTTAGACTAGCCCTGCCTGAGAAAGCCTTGGGATAGAAAAGGAAATATTCTCTACAAGCAATGGGGCAAATGCTTCCTCATTCCATTTTTGTTATCCCAAGTGAAAAGGACTTCATCTCCCTGGAGCAGTGAAGTCTGAGATTCAGACTAGAGTTAACCTGGGCAAATGGAGGGCTCCATGAAGTCCAGCCTACAAGGTCATTTGGAACCAGAACCTCAGTTGAAATAAAACATTATTATGCTTTGCTGATTCCTGACCTGTACTCATATTCTCCCTCAGGAAGTTTGAGGAAAAGAACATCTGTCAAAAGCAAAATACAAGTGTTCCTGGGTTTCCTGGACAAAATGTAATTTTTAGACTCCCAAAAGGACTCAGTCTTACCAACTAATAATCTTCTAACCAGACTTTACTTCCTACTCCTTCACCAACACACACTCTGGCTCTAACCCTTCAAACACCGCTTATGTGCAATTCTCGTAAAGAGCCTCTGATTTATTTCAATCTACAGCAGTCCCCCCATTTCTATGGTTTTGCTTTCTGCCATTTCAGTTACCCAAGGTCAACCATGGACTGAAAACATGAATCATTCTTTTGTCCAGGGTATCCACGCTGTATATACTCCCCTCCCATTAGTCACTTAGGAGCCGTCTAAGTTATCAGATTGGTTATCAGACTGAGTGTTGCAGTGTCTGAGTGCTTGTGTTCAAGTAACACTTATTTTTCTTAGTAATGTCTCATTCACCACTCTTCATGTCATCATGAAGGCATTTTGTCATCTCATATCATCACAAGAAAGGTGAGTAGAGTATAATAAGATATTTTGAATGAGAAAGACTACATTTGAGGGAGGAAAGTTAGAATAGGGAACAAAGGCCTCAAGCTCTACCCCTTCCCTTTTCCATCCTGGCTGGAACATTGCAACTTTTGCTGCCCATCTGTTCCCCCCACTTTCCCCTCCCAATTTCTTGTAGTTCAGATAAACAAAAAACAGTCTCAACTAGATTCAGCAGCCATATTGACCTGTCAGTGACCATCAGGGCCATTGTAACATAAAAAATTTGCATTGTGGTGTTGGAACCACTCTGCCTCCCATATCACAGTAACAGTTCTGGGAGGACCAAATGAGAAATCGTTATCCAGAGAGGACAGAGGAGGGACTGGGATGAGCCACATCAGCAGCCAACCCACAAGTATGAGAAGCTGAGGACCACCCTATCCTCAAAAAACTTTCTACCTAGGCCCCAAAAGGGAAGCTTGTTCTCAGAGTTTGACAGCGCTCCCTTCTCAAGTGTGTACTTTCACTTTAATAAATTTACTGTGCTTTGCAGAATCTTTGTCTCACCCTTAAATTTTTTCTTGTGCGGTGACAAGGACCTGGTCCTTGATATTGGGTTGAGGCCTCCCTTGGCCTCCTCAGTGTCCTCCTGCATCAGCTTTTGGTGAGCTAGCCAAGAGATCTTTTCCTTTCACAGAGTCACCCTGTGAGACTTGAAACCAGGGGAACAGTGAGCTGCTGCAGCTTGTTCCCAGATCACCCCCTGACCCTGTCTCCAAGAACCTGCATCTTGTTTCTCTCCTCCACTCCTGACTGAATCAGTGTCTCTCTCTCTCTTTCTTTTTTTCTCTCTCTCCCTCAGAATCACTCTTGAGTCCTCCTCCTACACGACCAAGAGCTTCAGACCTGCACCCAGGAGTGAGTTTTCTGTCCACAGTTGCTGGTAAGTTTGCCCACATGGACTTGCCTTGTTTTGTCTCTGCCTTTCATAAACACACCCTTTTTAAAATCAGATTTTTCTCTCTTTTTCTGGGGACCAGATGCCCATGATATGGTCATTTAGCTTCCTGACTGAAGACAGTCACAAAATGCCATATTTGTGATCTTATAAACCAGACTTAGGATTCCTCATGCTCCCACCACTCTTTTACTGCGTTCAAGACATTCATCCTCATTTTCAATCGTCTCACTTCCTGCTACTCATAGATGCCTGCACCTTCTTAGGAACCGCCATGTACCTCAGTTTTACCTGGTCTGAATGCAAACTGGAACTGTCACAGACTATTCTATGGTCCCGTGACCACTGTGGCCTTCCCCTGGACCAATTTCTGACCACCCTGGCTTCCCAGGTTGGTTTCTCCTTTCTTGCTAACCACTGTGCAAATCACCAGCATTGATCCTTTAACTGGAATAATACTTCCTCACCAGGCTTACACCCAGCATCCTAGACTTAATAACTGGCCACAGCCTTTTAGGCCCAAAAGGAGGGGAAAGCAGCAGGGAAGTCACAGACCAGCTCCTCCCTAAGGGCCTCCTTTCCTCTAGTAGCCTCCCTATGCCTGGACAAGTAAACAAATCCCCACTGAGTGGGAAGCCATGGGCCTATCGTCTAAGGGGCCATACTGGCCGACTCCAGGGATGCCCAGGACAAGCTGGCCAGACTTATCGGTGCAGGGGATGCCCTGACCCCTAGGTTTGTACTCTCTTAGCCTGCCCTCAATGAGGAGGTGGATTTTCAGTCCACCTCCTAGTGGGAGGACAGGTTGGGATGCCTCACCCTCACCTGAGCACCCCTTTTCTTTCTCCAGGTATTATGGGAAACTTCTCATCCATTCCTGAGGACTTGCCACTAGGCTTCGTTCTGGCCAACTGGATGGACTTCAAATTAGATGGCTTAAAACAAACAAACAAACAAACAAACAAACAAACAAAAATTCATTTTCTTCTGCAATACAGCACAACCTCAGTATTAATTAGGGGATGGGGAAACATGGCCTGGAAATGGAACCTTAAATTACAATACTACCCTTCAATCAGATCTCCTCTGCAAATGCCAGGAAAAATGGACAGAAATCTCTTACATACAAGCCTTCATGGCCCTATACCAAGACCCAGAGAAAAGAGGCTCATGTAAGATCTGCTATGCCCATTCCTTTTTCTAGCCCTCCCCAGGTGAATATAGACATCCTAGGTGACCTTCTCCTGTCAGTGCCTCCATCATGCCCAATAAATAATTCAGAAGAACATGAAGGCCAGGAACCAGGCTCCTCCCATACCAAGGTTCCCCTGGGATACCTCCTCTGGCACCTTCCACCCTGCCTATAAGCCCCCCTTACTATGCTTCTTCCTTTTATGCACCAATACCAACGGGAGCCTAGACCCTCAGGACATAACAAGAGTGGAGCCTCTTATCATCCAGACCCCACCAAGTTATGTCCTCCCAGAGAAGTAGCAAAAGGAGATGTGGGAACCATTAGGATTCATGTTTCTTTTATCATGAACCTACCTCACCCAATGTAAAATAAAGATAGGCCAGTTTTCAGAAGACCCCAGTTGGTTAGTAGATGAATTTCAAGCACTGACAATGCTTTCTGACCTAGCTTGGAGGGACATTCATATTGTCCTGCCCACCTGTCGTACTCCTGGGGAAAAACATAGGAACTGGTTAGCAGCCGAGGGACACATTGATGGAATGGCAGCAGCCCAACTGGATAGATACCTGGTGGGGTGAATGCAGTTCAGCCTGCAACTACCAGGTGGGACAGGCACCTCACTAGGAAGGATTATATGATACACTGCCTTATAAGAGGCATGAAAAAATATGTCACCAAGCCTATAAATGATGAAAAGGTGAAAGAGGTAACTTAAGGAAAGGAAGAAAAACCTGCTCTATTTCAGGGCAGACTGACTGAGGCCTTTAGAAAGTATACCAACATAAACCCCTCTATGTCTGAGGGACAAGCTTTATTCGGTCAGCATCATATTAGTCAACCTGACCCAGACATCAGGCAAAAGTTACAAAAACTTCAATTTGGCCCTCAGACCCCAATGGCTCCATTACTGGAAACCATCTTTAGAGTCTAAAATCATTGTGACCAGACTGAAAGAGATGAAAGGGCCCAGTGTGGACCAGACAGGCCAAATGGCAGGCTCAGTAGCAGGTAGCAGTTGCAGTTGCCGGCACCTTGCAGCCTCAAGGTCACCTAAGGGAAACATTGGGATGTCCAAGTAGGGCATCCCCTTGGTCCCCCAAGGGAGCTTGCTTTAAGTGCAGTGAGCCAGATAATTGGAGCAGACAATGTTCTCAAAAGCTGG